AATATAGAGATTTTCTAATAATTTTATATTTGATAGTTTATTAAAGTGTGTTCAAGTAGAAAGGTGCTTTTAATTATAGAAATATTTTTTCTCAAAATTAGATCTTTTATAAATTAATTTTTGAACATATATAGGGATAATTAAATTTCTTTTTTGTTTCGAGAGAAGTTTCATAAATGCTCGAGAGTCATTTATCGAAGAATAACACTTGTTTTTGTCAAATATGTTTTTAATTGCCTTGGTTTATTCAAATATAGTCAATATACGTAACATTCAATTTAATTGCTTGTGAAATGAAAACTGTCTCGATACGGTTAAATAAGCAATATTTCTGCCTGTTGAGAGTTATGTTTGATTTTTATGTCTATATACAATTTCAACGTTTTATCATCAATACATCGTTATATTAACAATCAGTTGGGCAAAAGACATCAAAACGCAGTGATCATGTCTCGTATTGGCATTTCAGTTACGCTCAATACTGCATATAATATGTATAACGTGAATAATTTGACATTACTTTTAATAATACGGATGCATTAATGGTATGAACAGTAATACAATTATATAGTTATTATTTATTGATGAACTGAAAATATCTATAATTTGTGTTTTCCATGCTCTTCAGAATTTAGCGAAAAGTTTAAGAAAAAAAAAGGATTCTGCGCGTTAAAACTCTCTCGAGCATTTCTAGCAAAAGTGTTATACATATACTGCCGTATGTAGAAAAAAAATACAATTAGCCATAACATGATTTTATCATCGATTTTAACATGTTAGAATTATTCAGTAGTCATGAATAATATGTAATAGAAGTTTACAATTAAAAAAAGTCACTATTATTCCTTGGTTTATTTATAAAAATAAATATATCGTACAATTTTTTTTTAAATAGCAACTATATAATTTTGCGGCAAATAAAGTCTGGAGCGTTTATACATACATATACATACATAAATCTCAATGTTTTTTAAATTGAGTTTTAGAATTAAGAAAATTTTACGATATCCGCATCTTGCTTTATTAAATATTTTAAGAGTGTTTAAACTCTTTATACATTATTTTCTCTCAAAATTGATCTTTGATTATTACATATTATTATATTATAATTTGTAAATTACATCTCTTTTTCTCTCCCTCTCTTTCTCTCTCTCTTGCTCGACAAATTATTAGTGTCAGATTAAAAAAATATTTAGTATTGTCTTTTCAGGAAAAATGACATTGGCTACTCTCGTGATAAAATATTGATGTTTTCTCTTGAAAATGTCGTATAACCGTCCAACAGCCGATAATGCATCAGACTTGTACCGCTTTTATACATGTTGGAAAAACTATCGTGCTGTTCTGCGATATCGCAAATCCGGGATAGGAGAACCAGAAAATATTTTTCGATACAGTCAATGTGAAACTACGTGAAATAAAAATACTGGTCATGATCGTACCCTCATGTATGTATACGAACCTATATATATATAAATATGTATGAAATATATTAATAAGAGGCTAGATCGGAATGGGATCGAGTGAGATAAATTTTGCTTTTTGTATAAATACGGGATAGCTGGTAAATCTAGATTTGCGTGTTGCAAAATAAGAATATCAATATTATTAATAAAATTATAATAAATGCGTATTACAGTAACAAATGTCATGGAAAAGGCGCGTTATTTATTAATATGGCGAGTCACTGGAAAAGTAATCTGCCCTCATGATAGGGACTTCGTAGCAAGGTAGCCGAAAACCAATAACGCTGAAAATTGACTATATCATCTGCACTCAGGACGGCGGGAAAAATGATCGGCCCGATGATATTGCGCCCACGATACTCAATATCGCTTTTCCCACTCGCAGTTAACGTATATCTTGATAAAGTGAAATTGAGCCATACGGAAATCAAGTTTAAGAGTACAAGAATAAGTCTGAATAAAAAAGATCGTTCATAAATATCTCCACAGTAACTCGAGATAATGGAAATCATAATGAATATTAATATGATAAATTAATCTACAGACGTTTCGGTTTGTTGCTAGATCATCCTCAGTGTAGAATTACAAAACCGGTAAAATAATTACAAAAAGAAGCCGTAAAATGCATAAATATAATTACAATAATTATGCGTATTGCGTCTTAATTACGAATGGTCTTAATTACAAATTTTTTATCTTTGATTGTCTTGTAATTATATTTATGCATGATGGCTTAACTTCTTTGACTTTTCTGTGTAATTATAATTAATTAATTATAATAACGCGTATTATGTCTTAATTTTTTACCGTTTTATGTCTTAATTTTTTTGTAACTCTACACTGAGGACGGTCTATTAGTAACAGACCGAAATGTCTGTAGATTAATTTATCATAAATAAAAGTTTTTCAACGCTAACACCTTATTGCGGCTCTATGCTCCTTATTTTTTTTAATTGATTTGTTAATCTTCTGAGCCTTAGACACTTAATTAAAATAATATTAATAAATAATAATAAATATAAATAATAAATATAAATAATAATATATATAAATAATAAATAATAATAAATAATTTATAAATAAATATAAATAAATCTTCTTTATTGGTTTGTCTTTCTGTAGGATTATGTGTGTGACGTATATTTTTAAGTATGATCTGCACTCCTCTTCTTGAATATTTTTAAAACACAAAAAAGAATCACAAGAAGAGAGTTACATTACATTGCAGCTACAGTTTATTCAGAAAATGTAATGCCTTTCTTCCATTCTTCATGTTTATCCCGAAGCGAGAATATTACGTATAATGAAAACGAATGAAAGGAATGTTCAGTACACTTTTATTTTTCAATATAATCTCCACGCAGTTACGAGCTTATTTTACCACATGCACAAGTGGACAAAGATTACATTATATAAAAATGTGTGTAGACAGAAAATCTCCTTTAACTAAGTAAAATTTGTATATTTCCTATTAAAAATATTCCATGAAAAATATATTGCATCTCTGATGAGAAAATGAGAAATCATAAAATAATGGGGAAATCCTATCCTTTCTGGATTTCTTTACATATATCGCATATCGCATTTCTCTATTAAATACTCTAGCCCTCCGAGACCACACCTCTTTTTTTAATACGCCCCGGCCACACTGGGGTGGTCGCCACTCCAGACGAATTTAAAGTCTCATAATTTCAATTAATGTACGTAAAAATTCATGAAACATTTTAAGGGTGTTGTTAAAAAATATGCGTATAGTACAGAACCCAAAATGTGCTCGAGGAACAAAAATATTGTAATTTTTAGTCGCTATAAGAAATATACACCAAGGCCATACTGGGGTGGTCTCCACCTTCATAATAATTTTCAAATGTTTACCAAACATAACTGACATGGCTTACAGCTTTTCTACTGCGCGGATCTTCGAGAGAAGGATCCAATTAGAGATCCTGGGCATTTTTGGATGGAAGGACACTGATTATAAAGCTTATCTTAAAAATATTGGGCCCTGAACTTTTGTTGGGGTGGCCGCCATCCCATGTGGCCTCGAAAGGCTATAAAATTTGAAATATAATCTATCGTATATAAATATATATATTGTAAAAATATGGTGTATTGTATACAAAGATATATAAATAACAGAAACTTTTTATATACGCGTAGATTGTTTATATTGCATATGAAGTCACTTTAACTATATCCAACTTTATATTCCTTCTTTACTTCTTGTTTTTTCCTCTGAATAAGTTTCATAACTTATCTATTCGCATATTTTCAATTCTTAAGTCAAATTTTATCACACTGCATTTTTACATCATTTTACTCGATTTATATTCGTGCACAAAGGCTTTCCATATGATTGCATTTGGTTGTATGTGTCGCATGTTAATTTCAGCTCGTATGTGCGCCGACCTCGTGCCTTAATCATAACCGTCTATGTCAAGATGCCTTGAACGAGACCCAGGGAATGACGCGCAGCGTCGGTTTTGCCTAAATAGTTACCGCGCGCAATATAAATAGATTAGTAAATTAAAGTATGTAAGAAAATTTTCTTTATACAATAGAAATATTTTGTTCTGTGTATGTGTTTGCATGTCATATTATGCCTGCTTTAAAAAATACTCTATGACTTCTTCCTTTTGCAAGTATAACAGAACTACAGAACGTGCTCAGCCTTTACTTGCATTATGCATAATTCTCCTGACATAAGAAACCGTCAGTTTTCGCATTAAAAATTATTGCAGAATCTCTCTTTCTCTCTATTTTTTATCTTTATATTTTTCACTCCTTCTCTCTACGTTTTCCAAACCGACAAATTGACATTTCCAGTAACGATCTAATCCTTTAGACTTAGCGCGAAATATCGAACATAGTCATGCGAACTGCATTCGGCGTTAGCACAATAGTGAATTCTTGGCAAAAGTTCGCGGTGCAGCGAAATGGGACTTGATTGTTCCGCGCGTTTTCCAATTAGTCGCTCCTCTCCTTACGCCACCGTGTCGCCTTTAACTCTCGACATGAATAAATCGTCGCGAAACTCGTTACAACAAACGTTTTGGTGCCTCGCTTTGAAACGAGGAAGTTTACTGTAGTTGACGCGATGTAATGCGAATAATTTAAAGACTGAGTATGTTCCGTTGTAATTGAAAAAGAAAGAATTCATAGTATTTTTTAAAGTAGGCATAATAATTTGTAACCACATACATACAGACGAAATATTTCTATTGCAGAACACAAATTTTCTCACATACTCTAGTTTACTAATCAATTTTCTCAAACTGTAAGTACGTTCTATGATTCTATGCCAATGCATCGCGATTTAAGAAAAAGTGTTATACATAAAAGTAACACTTGTTCAAAGCTTTTCTGAAAACACACACAATCAATCATTTAATAAGCAATATATCTTCGTATCTCTTGTGTATCTTGTATCTTGAGATATAAAAGAATCCATTTAGGTACTTAAAAAAATATGTTTCAATTTGATATTTTATATAATATAATTTTAAGTAAAATTGTTCTCTTTTCTTGTTGCAGTTTGGATAGAGATCAACCGTTCACCTTTCAGCTTGGTGTAGGACAAGTTATTAAAGGATGGGATCAAGGTCTCCTGGATATGTGCGTAGGCGAGAGGAGGAGACTGACGATACCACCTGAGCTTGGATACGGCGAAAAGGGTGCTGGAAATGTTATTCCTGGTGGTACGATGACATCTTTTCATTATTTCTAAATTTACTTCATGTTTAATATTTATATTAAACATGTTTATATTAAATAATTTGATATTTATATGTAATATATTTGCATTGAGAGGTTTGCGTATCTACAAAATTATATCGCTTAAATCTTATATATAATATGCTTATCCTATATATAATTCTACATATATAGGGTATATATAAATTAATAATAGATACTATAATTTTATCACTTTTCTATACGCTCGCGAGCCAGTGTTTCTCTAATTGTTCCAAGTTCTTCTGCCAATCGAAACACGCGCCAATAGGTGTATATTCGACAATCAACTGGACTTCAATAATGTACGTCGCGATTAAAAGGCGTCACGCTGACGTGAGCATTTTTTAAATTACACGTGAGACCATTTTTACGCGCGCGAAAGGATTAGCGTGGAGCCGGTGGAGAGAAAGGGGAAATGGACAGTACCGACAGGTCGATACAAGGGTAGTCGTTAGTAGCAGAATCGAAGTCAAAAATGCAATTGCACGGAAATCCAATAAAGCATCAACCATTAAATTGAGCATCGTTGCCTGGCTTTCGGCAACGGCGGGATCAACAATGATAAACGATTTGCCTTTTTCGCAGGGCCCTCGCGCGCGAGTAAATCGCCTGTTACGCTCTAGCCTCTCTGTTTATTTTTTAATTATTTTTTAATTACATGATTTCTCCACGGGTTTATTTAAAATCGATGCGTACTTCAACTGGTTAAATTATGATAGTCTCGCGAATCTGTAATTATGACGATTTCATTGAAAATCACTGAATAATCACTTTTTCGACTAATTTTCATCGTAGAAACATTGAAGTATATAATAATATTTAATTGATAACTAAATATATTTATTTATATATAAAAAAATGTATTTGCCTAAAAAGCAGAAAAAAATTAATGTACATAAATGCCATAATTAGCAATACAAATATACAATTGCAATTGTATAATCAATTCTACAATCACATTTGCTATGACTCACGTTTGTTATGGTAGTAGCTCATTATATACATGTATATCAAGCACGAATTTACGCGCGTTTGGCGAATTATTGCCATCGAAATGTCCTTCCTCATAGAATACGATGATAAAGAAGACTAGAGGGAAACGCGAGGATTGGAATATTCCCATCATCCCTCTCCATTTCTCACGTTCAATTTCCACGGCGACAGTGGCCGGTTACACCGAACGGCGCATTATTATTCGCCGTATTAATTTCACTCGTTTAAGTAGTGAATAATTAAGCGCCATATTTCATTAGGGCCAGCTTAATCGCGACGGGACCATCCATAATTAATGGCTGGACGTGCCGAGCGCGCGTATGCATTCTCTACCGCGCCGAACACTTCGTTAGCCCCTTCCCCTGCCGAATTTGCTGGTCATTGTTATTTCGGACATCTATAGACACCATTATTGGCGATCGAATTTCTGTGTGTATTATTATTAACGTTTGGCCGTGTCTAGGTGACTGCGTGTGTAGTGTACGTATGATTAATTATACGTTTGTTCAATTCTAAATTTAACAATGTATTTTAGGTTTTTTTTTGCTACACAATTAGTATTTTTGAACACCGAAAACTTCACAGTGACAAGTTGCATTGTATCATTGTTATAATTACCAGAACTTGGTAAAACTTTGGTAGAAAAATTATATAATAGAATGCTGTGTAAAAGGTATGATATACTTTTTATTATAGGCAGGAGGGAGGGGAAAATAATATTTTAAAATAGACTTGAACTATATTTCCACGAAAAAATTAAGTTGTCTACAATATTGACGACAAGAAAACATTTTAAGCAATGCTAACATTAATTACATTAAAGGGCTACTTCAAAGAGAAATAACAAGATAATGCAGAGGAAGATATTTATAGTATGTAAATTTGTACAATAACCATTACAATTAATTTTCTTTTTTATAAATTCTTTGCAATTTTTTTAATTATTTTTTTCCTTTTCTATCTCTATTGTTTTTATAATTAGACTAAACTGTGAATTAAAACTTGTATTATTACGCTTTTTTATTATGTCTTTGTGCATATAGATACACTTGTCGATTTGTCACTTTACTCTGTGTACATATATAGTCTATATATTCTTCACATACATCCGCCAAAACGCGTAAAAAGCTTTGTGCCTGACAGCAGATCGATGAGTTCTAAAAATGATTTACGAGTATTTGCCAAATCGAGATTAATAGTATTTGCAGAAAATGGATAAACCTCTCGAAATGGGAATCTTCTCGCATCCAGATTTATATCAAACATGCTTTTGTCCAGTGCGTTAAATCATCCAAGATATTAAAAAATACCTTTGTTTCACAAAATAATTTTAATTTTAACAAAGCGAATAAATATAAGGTTTAAAAAAAAACATTTGAGAAGATAAATTCTTCTTCGAAATCTTGTGCTTATTTAATTTTAAGCCGTACTAAAAATCTCACAACGTTTATATTAACACAATATAAATTTAATACTTTAATTGATAAGATATAAAATTTAATATCTATTAATTAAAAATTATCTGTTCTAAGAAAACTTTTTATTTTTATTGTATTTACATTTCCATAATTTATGTATATTATGCAGGCTATTAACATGAAAGGTTATTGTTGATTTCAGGCGCTACTCTTACGTTTGAAGTCGAGCTCATGAATATTAGCGATTCGCCCCCAACCGCCAACGTCTTTAAGGAAATCGATGCTGACAAAGACAACCAATTGTCCCGCGAGGAGGTGAGAGCAATGGCAAGATCACTTTAAGTTTTTATTTGGGCCATTTGTGGTGCTGGTCGTAGAGAAATAGTGCTGTAAACATCTCGTTACACAAGCTATTTGTTTTTATAAGCACCGTCCAAATTACGATGTTAACGACATTTATTTTTATTTTAAACGCTTTAGATAGAGTCGTATATTATTAACAAGTCTAAAAACAAGAATAATTTACAGGGTATTAATGTGCATAATAATAATCGTAATCTACTTAAATCTTCTATTAAATTAAAAACTTAACAATAATTTTATTGACCTGTATATATAAATTTATTTATACTGTCCACTCTGTGGACACGCTACAGTCACGCTATTTCCTATGCATCTGTTTTAGTTAATCGGTACGGTGAATTTTTTTGTTCGTAGGTAAGCGATTACTTGCGGAAACAGGTGATAGAAGCCGAGCAGGCTAGCGCTAGTGAAAATGAAGACGTGAAAAAAATGCTGGCCGATCACGATAAGCTCGTGGAGGAGATCTTCCAGCACGAGGATAAGGACAAGAACGGCTTCATCTCCCACGACGAGTTCAGTGGGCCGAAGCATGATGAGCTCTGAAGTCTTCGTCCCTCATCATCGCGTCTCCGAGCGCCCGTTGTTGACGTCGTCGTCGCCTCAATCGTCGACGACATCGACGCGCCCCGCGCCACCACGTGTTCACCTCTGTATAAAATCACCTCTTCGAGTCCCCTCTCGGGTATTCCCGCAGGATCCACTGATCGATTGTGCCGAGTACACGCGTGCTCCAGCTCGCAAGACCGAGCGAATTTATCAGCAAACTTTTCCGATACAGCACCACTGATAACAGCGTCAGCGGGATACGATCCTCGGGAATCTCCGGCTCGTCGAGTCGTACTCGTGTCCTTGATTTCAGGAAACTTACAGGAGTAGGTGGACATTTTTGATTAACAACGAAGTTGGAAAATTCGTAAAGTGAAAACTGTTTTCTGAAAAATGCGGAAAAAGTCTCTGGGAATTTTGAGAACTATTTGATGGCCCTAAGTAGCTTCAAGAAATTTCCTAATTTTTTTAATCCGGATTTTCTAAAGGATACGATTTCACTCGTTCGGAATATGAGCCACCCCATCGTAAACGCACAACATTACTCGAGAATCTGCAGGGGGAATCTCAACTGATTTCCGGCGTAATCGCCACCTGAACCTTTCCTATCCTAGCACATCTTGCTAGGAAGATTTATACAATCTTTGTCGCTCAATAATATGTTTGTTTTATGGTATTTATCATACAATCTCTTTTTGAAAATCTTTATAACGCTACAATTATTTCTGCAGTCGTTTAATTTTTATAGTTTACGTTGAGCAGAAATATGATTTTTTTACCAAATAAAATTTCCGATAAAACACAAATTTCTTGTTGCCTGGTAAATAGTGAAAAATATATATCAAACCAATGTTCCCTATTAAGGTTCCGTTTTTCTATTTTGTCATTTTCAACCACTCTGAAAGTTTGCCGAATTTCAAAGATCCATAGCGAAATTTTCGCGGATATTCCTAAGCAGAAAACATTCCGGCGCAACGACGTCGCTGTACATTTTAATACGATATAAGTAACAAAAAAAGAAAAAGAAATTCACGGATGTCTGCTCGAATGACTGCACTGTAGTGGCATAAAGTGAGAGGCTGTGTATGTTTCGCACTATATATATTATATAAAAATATAAAGAGAGAGAAAGTGAGATTGTGATGATAGAGCGAGATGAAGGTGTGACGGAAAGAATGTTTTTTCTACATGATTATAAATGTTAGCATAACTAAAAGGCATCGACGTACGGTGCCTGAAAATCACACGCATTCTGTCCTACTCTAAAAAAAAAAGCTTCCACCAACCTGTCCCAGTCATAACGATCCCTTGCTCGAGAGTCTCTCGCGCGCGCGCGATATTCACGTAGGAGACAAGAAGAGGATGACGAAGAAAAGGAGAAAGAGGAAATATCCCGAGGATGCGTAGTGGAGATGAATATGGTCGCTTTTACGCGGGCATCCCCTTATCGCATTATTACATTTTAACTGATACGTTTTTATTACTACATTATATTGTATGTTGTTAAAGTTGGATGATGGTTAATAATAAATCGTGTGTCTCGAGCACAGTTTGTTATATAACTACCTCTTTCAATTTCTGCATCCCTGTCTGATAGTTTACTTTACTCGCGGCAGTTATACAAATGCAATAAAATATTTCTCTATTATAATCATCTAATAATTAATTATTTATCCTTTATTATTTTATGTTTGATCATTGTATACAATGTACTTAATCTAAAACTTACCTTTTGTCTTGTAGAGAATAAACTTCTAAAAAATCCGGGAATTATTAAGTTTTGAAATAAGTTGCCTTCCTCTGAAAAGAAAAGATATTCTGAAAGAGGAAAAAAGAATCTATCTATTTTTATAATTGCTTCTCCTTTTATTTAAAGAATTATTTCCACAAAAAGTTACAATAATTGCGCGATTATGCGTTTCTACGAAACGTAATAATAAAATGATAATTAAAATAATTAAGTTGCTAGGCAGATTTATGTCGTCCGGTATATATCAGTATATTTGCTATTCGACAGGAATCGTTCTAGAATATATTTATTTCGTATAATGCAAAATGGCTGTTTCTTCGTTGTAAAGATCGACGCGAGCAAAATTATCGATTACTCCGGTAGTCGGTCTTGAAAAATCGATCGATTATAAAAATTCGTCGAGGCACATGCTGTCACATATATGATTGTCGAGTCGACCCTGTCGTCCATGATTCGAATGAATCTTTCGAGAAGTACCGTGCACGATACGTAAAATGTATATAATATATATACGTAAATAACGCACGTAATAACTTTCAAAGAGACAAAAAAAAAACGTAAATGTAGTCTTACATAGTCGCGGCGTCTCGAGACTTTCAGAAACTTCTACATATGGAACAAGGAAAATTTTGTAAAACAAAACTGTTTACAGAAGGACCTACATAAAAAAAGTCTCTCTACGAGGAAATTTCTATGTAATAATTCCTAATATGCATGCGAGATATTCTTTCTCGTACGAACATGTTACTTCACTTGATCATTCGCTTAAGCCTAAATCACCGATTAATACTTGTCTAATTCGCGACAAAATTACAATATTTTTTTCTGTTTATTGCTCATACTTATTATTCCGTCTTAGCAAGTCGGCAGGTGCACGCACGAAGTGCACATGGGGCTTCACGCAAAAATCGAACTCGGCGAACGTCAGCGACGCGTTCCAGAGCCGATTGTCGTGCCGTCTGATCTCGGAAAATTCTGATGGGGAAGGACAGGATCCTATAGTCAAAGATCTACGACGGGGATCGCAATGTTTTCACCGAGCTTTCACCGTTCCGCCCTTTCGCAATATCGACGTCTCGCTCTTTCTTCGTCTCGTTTCGTGAGAGCATGTCGTCGCCTTCGAGTATTATCACAGTCAATAGCCCTTGATGTAGGCGGCGATGTGCTTCTTTTCCTCTTCCGAGAGACCGTTCTTTAGCGTTCGACGCACTGAAAAAGAAGCACAACATAGTAGCTTGCGTCGATAATATTCCTTACTTTGTTGTAAGCAAATGTAAAATGACGTAAGACGTAATACTTTTTAAATCAATCACATTGTCTCACGTGATTGTCTCCCTCTCACCTTTCTTACGCAATTATTTTTCTATATAAAAAAAAATTGTTTTGTTAATCTATTAAAACAGACCAAATTTATTTTATATTTCGCCGAGTTTTCCAAAGTAAGTGCAAAAGTTTAAGTATTTGAAATTACTATTGTACTTGATACAGGAACTTCTGCCGGAAATTTATTAAATTATTGAGAACTTCTATCGATTAAAAAAATTAAAATGAGAAAACGATAAGTAAAATCACAAATAAATTTGACGTTAGTAACACATTTATATTGTATTTCAACATAACATTTCTAATATAGTTTACACAAGATTTGTATTTAAAATACAAATTGACAAAAACACACACAAAAAAAACAAATATTTTCTAAAAGCGTGATTCCTAGTGAAATATTATTTTGAATGGTATACATATACATAAAAAGAGATAAGTGAGAAAATTATAATTCTATTGAGGCATTCCATTGAAGAATTCCCCCGACAGGGGACAGGCCCGGAGGAAGGGAGGCTGGCTCCCCGGCGGGGTTACGGAGAGTCAGCCATACTCCCATAACAACGGAAGGGGAGGCGGGGTCCACACCTCGCCTCATACGCGATTCAAGGCTTAAGGCCTCAGAGCTTAGGCTCATAGGTGGGAGTAATTCGGATCGGCAATAATCATGTTCCCGGATGCTCCCAGTTTGGCGAGGCAAAGGACATCCGTGAGGTTTTAGTGGGTAGGCTGCGCGTGTCGTCTACGACACGCGTAGAATCCCACACTCCCCTCGCTCCTCTCCCCGGAGGGCGGGGGGTCTTCTCCCTCCAAGGAGGGGGCCTCTGGGTATAATAACTGACAATGAGTTTATAATTACAATAAAATTTCATCGATGTCGTTTTTATGTTAATCCATCATCTATAAAATGTTGAATTAATATTTTCTATGCTAACAGCTCTCTTTCATTAGTCTGATGTAAAATTGTAATAAACTCAGCAATTTTTAATTAATACACTGCAAGCATCTGTCGGAACTTTACATTTAATCGTGCATTGAAACTTCTAAATTTTAATTAATTTGCCACTAGCAATTATAGCGATCGTTGTATAAAGAAAATACATCGCTAAATGGCTCCACGTTCAGCAAACAGATAAAAGAAAATTGACAATTAATAATTAAAACAAGCCGTTCGTTGTTAGTTTTATTGTTTCATGCGTCGATAGAAGTACCGGCAAAATCGGGTGTGATATTAATAGCAGTATCAATGTGCACATGTGTATATCGGAATTCTGTTACACATGTCGCACTATTTCGATCACGTAAATAATTAACTGGGAGTTAATTTGCCGCTTTGTGTGGAGATTAGTCGACGTGATGGTTTGCCGATATGTCCGATAGTAAACAAACTGTTCGGAATACAGTTAGAAAGCCGACGGCTGTTGGTGGATTCAGGAAATTACTGAAATAGATTCGAAATTTCTCCCCCTTGCCCCCTCAAAATTAATACTGACAATTGCATAAAGATGTGGAGACGCATGCTTGTACAATTTTATTTTTATAAGTCAAAAGTATTAGAAGTTATGTAAAATTAAATACATTTATTTTTAAATTTTATTGATATACCTACACATACACAAGAGTGCTATTTTATACTAAATTTGAGTCATTTTTAACCATTCCTATAGGTCACTATTATTCTTACTCAGTGTTGTTAATTTAACTAAAATAAAGTTAATTTAATTTAATTAAATCAATAGAGTAAAAATAATACTGTATTGTGTTAAAATAATACATTTCAACACACATGGTAATTAAAAATAACAAAATGTTATTTAATTTAAGGTATTGGTTTAAATTTCGTCCTTTAATATTTAACAATGTATGCAATGCAGAAGTTTATTTTGGAAAAAAAAACGTTTTTTTAAATATCACCGTTAAAATGACAAAGAAGTTTAAATAAAAAAGTAGGAAAGCGATATTCCATATATTTTCGGTAAAATTTAAGTTTCTAAACTATTTTTACAAATTTTAAATCATAAGAAAAATATACTTTGTCCCTTTAATTTAATTTAATTCAAGATTAATTATAGGAAGTGATTTATTAGATACTAAAATTTTTTTGTTTAGTTTTGTGTCTTGAAGTACAGAGTACAGTAGTATACGAGAAAGGCCAACATTTTTAACTATTTCGCACTCTATGCTTACTACAATTAATGCTGCTTATTTAAAGTCAACGACAAATTAGCGCATTGTCTGGTAATTACAGTTTCATTACGGTTTGCAAACATAGAATCGATAACGCGAGCAACCGCACCGAACGTGCTTCGAAGTATCTACTCGGAGATAATAATGCTATCACCGAGGACCCTCGATATCGATAATATTAGCTTCTTTGATCTAGTATCGTGTAACAAAGGACTCTCAATACTATCGCAAACTACTAACATTGCGCGTGTATTTTTCTTTCTTCGATAATTACCCGCTATTCCTTTGATCCTTCTCGTTATCCTCGCAATAAACGCATTTGCGCTTGCAGAGGCGCAGAGAGCAAATAAGCAAAGGAGTAAATCCATATATAATATAATCCCTTTTCTTACAGCAAGAAATAATGACATTTTAAGTGAAGATATTTATATTCATAATAATAAAGGCTCACAAGATTAGAAATCAATCGAAGAAAAATGGAGCATTGAGCCGTAACAAGGTGTTGGTGTTTATATATTCTATACTTAAGTAAAGAAGTAACGAATTATAATGTACATACTGTACATAGTGTAAGTTTTTTAAACAATTAAATCGTTTCGATTTAATTCCGGGGAGGGAAGGGGAATATTAATGTTCCAAGATAGCTGTGTTTCAAGTCCGACAAATATGCGGCGCGCAGTCTATTAAGTTGGAATATATGTATATGTACACTATGTACAGTATGTACATTATAATTCGTTATTTCTTTACTTAAGTATAGAATATATGAACACCAACACCTTGTTACGGCTCAATGCTCCATTTTTCTTCGATTGATATTTATATTCGTTTGTCATAATTAGAAATTAATATTCTTATGACAATTTTAATACTAACTAAAATTTAGCGGTTTAAACGTCACGCTTGGCTCTTACTGCCCGTTTCAAGGATTTATTTTTAATACTAACATTTATAAATTATGGATAATTCTTTGCAAGATATTACGTAAAATTATAAACGGAGCGAATGTCATCACGGGAATTTACATATGTATTTATTAGCATTGCGAGCAGCAATCTCAGTATAAATTACTAAAATATTCACAGATGTAACAGATTTGCCTTCTATTACGTGTTACTGTAAGTGAGCTGCTAATTTGTCGTGATTTTTTTTATTTTTCCATGTATAAACGGGTAATAATTCTCTGTCTCGTATTTTCCTGTTGCTCGTCGATAGAGTTTCGTGCCGTGTGGCGTTTCAATTTAATGTTGTTCAGTTAAATCGCTCGTGCTCTGGCGACTTTACAAACATGAAGTCCGCAGG